CGATAGGCGCCGGAGTCGTCCAAATTCGCCACGAACTTCGCCGCGCAATTTGCCGCGCGCACCCTCGGAAGCACGACTTGACGCACACCCAGGCGGAGTTTGCGCGAAATGAGTGTTCGAGCAGGAGTCTACAATTCCTTTCCCGTGGAACTGGAAAATTCAGGGCCTTACAATGAGAGCAATAGCCGCTTACCATTCACCTAAAGCCTTTGATACTAACGATCTGTCTTCGACTTTCGGATATGTTTCATTCGATAAGACGGGTAAGTGCAGTGATAGGGACTGGTTAAAGGCACTACATTGTAACAGCAAGTTTCGTGACACAGTAAAGCATCACGGCTTTCATTTGTTTCGATATCATTTACGACAAAACTGACCTGACCGCCAATAATCCGGGATTTTCAACTAATGATTTATCAGTAGGGAAAGGAAGCTTCATTGATAAAGATATTTGATAATGGTGTTATCATTACTCGACAACATTTGTGAGTGCCATTCGAAGCTTTGTTGTCTATAAGTTAAACCTTCAGTGTGTCACTATATTCAAGTTGGCCGGCAACGGATCGAGACTACCAAACATAAGCATACGCTTTGACATATACTGCTTCGATACAACTTCGTCATAAAAAGGGGCGAAGCCCCTCATTAGGTGGGCAACCCGGCTGGTAGTGTATGAAGGTATAAAACCATTGGAGCGATATTGCATGACTCAGGTAGGGAAGGGAGCATCTCAGACATCGAAAATTAAAATTTTATATAGTGCAATAGAATCAACATGAAAGGGATTTGTAGTTCTCAAGGAAAGGGTTCTGTAGCCTGCAAACGACGAGCATCAGCCACTGCTCTGAGACAAGGCTGTATTAGTGAACACACATATGTGCATATAATGTCGTCGCCTACTTCAAGCGATCGCCTAAATTCACCGTAACCCCGAGCAAGAAGTCGTTTGGCAATTATGGAATGCAGATTTGGGAACACGTGCAGCGATACAAGTCACATTTCAAGTGACCACTTCGATTTGGGATCTTTCCGTTGCATTCTCTTGTCCCTTCACCACCTTCTTAATGCTACGGTAATACTTGGCATTTTTCAGGTATTTCTTAGAGTGGCTGAAAATGCTGATATTAATGATGAGATTGATTCGAGTATCAGTCGCAATGAAGACTTAATTCGAGCACAACGAGGTGAGGTCATGGTCTCCGGACCGCAGCATAAAGGTCTATGCTTTCCGTTACTTTCACTTTTCTAATTCCTCATCATATCATCTATTAATTCAGAGAATAAAAAAACTTTCCGCCTCATATTTCCGAGCCAATTCCTCACAATTCTTTTGGTTTGGATGTATCTCACTGATGATGTGTGGGCTAAGTGAATATTTTTCAGTGGCTCGCCATAAAAGTTGCGCGCTTTGGCTTGCCCAGTTATGTGCCCTTTTCACTAAAAGATTTCTTTACTTCGTTCGAAATTGGCCGCAATTGTTTGGTCAAATGTTGGTTCCTCTGGCAATTTTGATTTTGATCGCTTACATCACAAAAACTATGGAATGGTCGAATGGCAAGAAAGGTTAGTTTTCAGAATTTCTTGCGTCGTTGTTTGGTTTGTTTTCGTTTCTTTATGTATACTCTTGTCTTATTCTGGGATAGCCCAATGGCCGATATAGTAGCAAGTGAAGTAGGCGCATGGTTCGGGGATCTAATCCCATATCAAAAGCTTGCCCAAACCACTGAGGCTTTGTCCGATTTGGTTGGCGCAACGAATTTATTAAAGACAGAGACTTCAGCTTTTCACTTGACCATTTTATAGTAGAAGAACAACGGATGTTATCTGTAGCGACATTTGGTCCGTCCCGTATTCCTGTGAAAGTAGAACATAGGTCTCCATTGGTAAACGCATATATCGATATTGTGTCGAAAGGGCCAGAAGCTAAGGTATATTTTTTCGTTCAGTTGTGCCTCTCTGCCTGAATTTTGATGTCTCCATCACTGAGTAATATTCAGATCCATGTGCTTGGCCCTAATGACGACTTGACTACCTGGGTAGATCACTTGCCAAGAATGATGCCAGCTCCTGGATTCGGCGCAGTATTCGCCCAAGATACCGTCGAAGTGCTTTTTAATCTGGAAGCTTACCACTCATCACCAGTTTCATTGAATGCGTACGACAATGCGCGATTGAAAGTTGTAACGAATGGTGAGCACGATTAGGAATTAATTTTATTGAAATAACTACGCAGAAGATTCGTAGTCACCCTGCAGCTAGGAGACTCGACACCGCCTTTTTTCCGAGTCTCGATGATTATCAGAATCTAATTCCAGGATCCAATTCGGTTGTACTTACGAAGTTATGTGATTAGAGTTGTCATCCAAGAACAGCGGTTTTCAGCATCTGATGGAATAATCCGTACCTACTTGCACGCTTATTTGCCTACCAATTTGACTATCAAAGGATCGCCGTTTCGGCCGTATCTGACTCAACAAGATGTGGACAAGATGCTAGGGCCATACTTGGTTCTAGCGTTGACACTTGTAACATCACCCTTTGTTATTTTCTTGATCGAAGAACGTGTTAGCAAGTTTGCACATCAGGTCCGTTTATTGCGTTTCTAGATGTTCTCTTTTTTTTTGTTCGATGTAAGGTCATAAGTAAGTCTTTGTGTTTTAATCGTAAAATGGGGAAGTCTATTGGATCAGGGAAATCCAAGCTACCCTGAATGCACTTTTGGATCGCTCATTCTTATGAAATCATGCCTCAAGATTTCAGCAGTTTTTGACGGGCGTTTCTCCAGTCTTATTCTGGACATCCTCGTTCCTCTTCGATTTTCTCTTCTACTCCATTGTTTGCGCATGTTTCTTCGTAGTGTTCATAAAATGTGGTTGGATGCAAGGTTATCTCGGATTGTGAGTTTAATTTTTTGGCATTTCTCTATCACCAGCTTTTTTGTATGCCTAGCTCTAAAAGAAAATATAGAGAAATGGACTTTTCTCGGCTTTTGTTTCAGCGTGATTCTGCTGTTTGCTCTATACTTTTGGTCATGTGTGCCATTCATTTACGCCATGTCCTTCATATTTTCATCGTCATCGAAGGCGAACGTCTTTCTTATTCTTTGGCAACTGGTGGCTGCTTACGTTGCTATGATGTGCGTAATTTTCTTCACTCTCGGCGATATGATACAGTCGCACTTCAGCGAGATGATCAGGGTAACTGCATTTTTCATCGCTTATTTTCCTTATTGCTTAGGCAAGTTTTGAAGTAGAACTGCCGTGCTTGGTTAATTTTATTTTTCAAAGAGGTCGTCGGCTTTTACCGACTGTCGACCACCTTCTTGACGCAACAGCGCGGGGGATTGAATTTTCTTGTTTTACGTTAGAAATGAATATACTTTCGAATGTATGTGTTAGAAATTCATAAATCTCATTCCCGTGGACCTAGAACGTTCGAATTCGATATGTGTACAAGCGGCAGTATTAGGGCATTGATATGGTAGCGGAAGGAAGTGACTGAACTACACCCGCATAACGTAGGGCGTAGTGGGAAGAGGATTGAAGGGAGTGTAAGGGGCGGGACGTGCTTGAAATGAGCATAATCCTAGTAAAAATACGCAGTTAACTGAGACTAAATTTCGAATGCATTGGGTTACTCACACAAAAAGGACTTGAGCAGGAATTTGCTTGTGTTGGGCGAGGCGCGCACGAAGTGTGGTGCGTGTGTTTCGCCATAAATTGATAACACTTGTTCCCTTGGAGGGACCGAATTTGAAAATTTCGAAGAAGACAGGATGCGGGTCAACTTCACCACAACTATATGGATAGCTCGCGTTAGATAGGCAATCCCATCTGTCTGTTTTAAAGTGGTGAAAACTTGAAACTCTGCCTTCTGATCGAGCTGTGCCTTGTAATGTAAAACTTTGGCCAGTTACTAGAACAGATTTGATGCCATAGAGCTTAATAACTGAAGTCGCCAGACTAGTAGGCTGAACTAGGCTTTGAACTAATTTCTGAGACCGACTCGTCGTGATCGAAGGAAATTTGTAGTATCGACCACAACACGCCTAAATGCTGCGTCGCGGAAACGGTAGAAACATGGCCAACGAACTTGGGATTTTGGCATCTTGTCAGAGCAGACTCAGACGGTGTTCAATAGATGTTGAGAATTTGTTTTTGATGTGTATACCCACCGAATTATAGCGCTTGCTAAACATTATACATTCATTTATAGTCATTACTTCTGGGTCTGCTACCCTCCTTTGCACTCGGCAATGCTACAGTAACGGTGGGATTAGTTGCAGCTGAGAAGATGTTTCCGAACGTTCTGTGGGAATGGGATATGCTAGGTAAGCGCTTCTCATGCGGCTGCTTTGTGGATACTTTGAATATTACAGGGTGTTCTGAAATTAATGGCGCTAAAAATCAGAAATTTTAAAGGTAGACATATTTCAGTTCATTCGCTATTAGTTTGCGTACAAGAAGGTTCTCTTGGGATACGCGCAGTTGCTGAAGTGGGACTCCCAAGATCTTTAAGATGAAGGATGCTCATTCAAAGCCACTTCTAATCACTGGGATGCGAGAGTTGGAAGGGAATTATGAAATGGTTGTGATATCTATAATATTCGTACGGAAGTCTACTAGATGATATAGAGAACAAGACTCAATCAAAGACAAATCAGGAAGGTGTAGAAAGGCCAGCTTCTCCAAAGATAGAACTATTATTAGAATGGTCCGTTTACAAGCCTACTGTGATCGTGAGTGACACATCGAAAAGAGGTTGAATGAGCAGGATTTATCGAAGAGAAAACTAGCCAAGACGTATACACAGAGCATACTAATGGACGTAGTCAAGCACTTCACACCGTGATCTAAGACGCGGTCCGACTCTGTTCCTCGAAGCAGGTCAGTCCTTCCAGCAGGACGTTACTCCCTCCCGTCGTAGAGCCACACTCACCCACGAGTGATGCCGATACTAGCTGCCCAACTCCTTTAGCATAGAGGATTGGCCATCTTGCCCAGATCTTAACTCACTTTACTCCTTCCTGTAGTCCCTGATCAGGCGAGAGCTTGTAGAGTTTGCGGCCTCGTTCGGAGCATTTGGGAGCAAGACTCAATTACGGCAGGAAAAAGGAGGGCTACTGCGTGCAACATGCCAGGAGACCGAAGAGAGACATTTGCCCTCTATCCGTTGTAAAAGAGGATATTTCGAAACGTGAGCCTATAATTTTTGGACACCCTGTAATCCAAAAGAATAAGCAAGTTTTTCGGTTCGATTGCAAGTCTTTTTTCGCTTGAGTTGTCAGTAATGCTTACTCAGGCAGGACTATGACGTTTATGCTGGTATTCGGCTGCTTCTCCTCGTTGCTATTTCTGACTTTTCAATTCAAAGTTGTACGATACTGTTGGTTCCTGTTCTGGGATCAGTGTAAGAGTCATAGCAGAGTACGCATTTCTTTAATCTTTCTTTTCAATACGCCTAGCGTTTCAAGTCAGATAGTATCTTGCTGGCGTCAGGTCGGCTATGAAGACGATGAAAAAGCAGAGGCTGAAGAGCGAGTTGACGAAGAGCAATTTGGCGACGATTTGGCACTGGAAGTGAAGGTGAGCACCATCTTCGGAACGTCATAGCATCGTGTTTGATCCAGTACAATCGCAGGGTTTGTGCAAAATGTTTGGGGATCTGAGAGCCGTTGATGGTCTGACGTTAGGGGTACGAAACAGCGAATGCTTTGGACTGCTAGGTACGAACGGCGCTGGAAAGACAACTACTTTCGACATACTTACGGGTCAATCATTTGCCACATCTGGAACCGCCCGTATCGGCAAAAAGGACGTGACGAAGCAGATTGTGAGTCAACCTCTCCTTCCCTATTGAGTAGTTCTTGATTCTTGGAACTTTTCTTTTCAGTGTATCGGTTATTGTCCGCAATTTGACGCACTTCTTTTGGATCTGACTGGAAGGGAATCTCTAGAGGTATTCATTTGTTTTCAAATCAGTGATGATGATTTGTTTGGGCGCCAGCGATGGCTTTTGTTGAGCTTCACAAAACCTAAGAGAACCGGAAAACTCTCGTAGAAATCGTTCTCTCGTTTCGGAATCATCGAATAGCTCATCGAGTGCCAATTTAGGATAAGGTGATACAGAAGTCTAAGCACACTCAGATACACGTTCTAGGTTCTTTTAAAATCATGTTTGTAAATTCACTCATTGGAATGTGTAATCACCATTATATCCATGACTTTCATCCGAATGGGCTATTCTCTTTTCTCTCCCTAAAAGGAAGACTGTGTTTCGAAGAAGTCAGACACATTACTTTGGGTCAGAGGATGTACCGAATTCCTTATCCGCCAGAAACTGCATGAGGTGCCCAGAAAGGGTATGCAGCGACTACTACAGTCAGCTAGTATTCTTATTTAGAAAGTTCCACCCTTGCCGACTAATACTGACAGGACAATATCCGTTTCGACACTGTCAAAAACTTTTCCATAGACAACAAAGGTAAGGACAATGGTCATTCGGAATTCTGGAGATACCTTGATGACCATTGCGACCGCTTCAATGTGATCCAACCAGCTGATCCCTTCCGAAATCTAACTTGTCCAGCCCAATTGAGTTTTCTTCAATGTTCGCGATATGCGGCTGAGAATGATCCTTGCGAATAGCTCGTAAAGGGCACTCAACAAGCTTACTGGGTGATGGTTGTGAAGATCATCCCAGTCTCCTTTTTTGTGGAAGTTGCAAACACTCACTGGTAAGGGATCTTCTCCCTTTGGAGGTCGATGTCATGTATGTTTCAGGAAGCGTGGAATTCATGATCACCTACACGGGAATGGGTGGGTTGTGATTTTTCAGGGCTGGAGCGGTGCCCCATTTCATGCTCGCAACCGCAACTCTTACCTCCGAAGTGAGGATCCCAGGTGCTGTTCCTCCAGCGGGGATTTCTGGATTTCGCACGTGTATCGTGGATCGGTAGAGATTGGTGTGAAACCTGTGCGTAACTCTTGTATCTCAAATCATGATGTTGTAATAGTAACGTTCTTCTTTTTCGAACACTGTAATGGAGTTCTGTGGTTACGGGGATCGCGTCGGCATTGCTTCGACCGTTCTGTTCAGGGGTGCCTGCAGTAGTTTCCTCTCCCTGTATAGATGAAGGTCTCGCCGCACTGCTCATCTGCAGCTGATATTTGCTCGCTTTTCGAGATGCGTGGCCTTCTGATCGAGTGGAGTTATCCATTCGGGAAAGCTTGGCCTGTCAAGCACAAGTGAGGAGATCCCGAACCAGTGCGTCGCATTCTTCGGTCAGGTCATCCATGGCCTGTCAGTTATGTCGAGACAAAGCGTCGCTTAAAATCTCCGTCGTGCACAAATTACTTCGAGCTCTTTGCGTAAGTTTGAAAGATTTCTCCCAGCTTGTGACTGAATCTGATCATAGCGCAGAGTCGATGATCAGAACCTCTGCACAGAGATGGTAGAACACTAGCAAGCACCCCTTTCTGTTTGTTAATACGTGATCCTGTTCAGCATAAGTTGTACCGTTTGGAGACTCCCATGTCCAGCAGTAATGTTCCTTCTTCTGAAAAAATAGCTGCCATAGAGAAGTCGAGCGGCAGACAGAGGTTATGCCAGACGGTTTTCGTTTCCGTCCCTGTCTTTCATTCCCAACTTTAGAACTTGTACTCCACCCATTCAATGACAAAGGGCTCCTCCGTAACCGTGTTCGTGAAATGCCAAACGGAATTTCTCTGATCGCACTCGGAAATCCTACAAATTCCCTGATGTGACTTCTTCTTCATTCCCCTAAGAAGAGGCCGTATCTCCAGAATGAAAGTGAGCTGTTAATGAGCTAACGATCGCATGGCTGCAGAAATCCTCTCCGAGTGCAGTGTTGATGTTGAAGTCAGCGGAACGATCACTGGAGCCGTGGTGCCGCTCGCAGAATACGATTGCTCGAAAGTGGTCTATTCATGATGGGGAATAGAAAATGTCAGGGACCGACTAGAATTCACTGTTGGTATTTCTGAGATCGCTTCTAAATGTACTGAAGGTCTGAGGAAGGCGATGGTTCAAATGGGTGAACGGCAACACGTGTAATTTTGTGTCTCAAGATTTTTGCACCAGCCTAACAGCCTACATCGAAATGACGGAAGGTGGTTTTCAGATACTGGCCCGTATGCATGGTTACCCACATCCAGCTGATATAACAAATGTTATTCTTCGTGTAGTCGGAATGACAGAACACGCGGATAAGTTGGTGCGGTACTGCAGGTAATCATATTTCACAATTCTATCTCGCAGTTTATATGCCGCGCCGCTTAGGCCGGTCCTGTGTGGAACTGGGTGCTGCCTACCTCCGGCCGGGACGCTGGCCACGCCGGCAGGCTGGCGGACTATGAAAGCAGCCCGTCACAGACTCACGATGGAATCTGCAACATCTTAGCGTTGGTACCATGATTTTTGGAATTTTAGTGGAGGGCAACGTCGGAAAATAAGCGTTGGTCTAGCAATGCTTGCTCCAACACGGATTATCATTCTGGATGAACCTACTGCTGGAATCGATCCTAAAGTGCGTAATTGTAAACTCATACATAGACTTTTTCTGGTTCTTAGGAAAATTCGAAGCCTCCCCCAGGTTTAAGCCGAACTACTTGTCTTCAGGCTCGTCGTGAGATTTGGAAGGCCTTATCAGTTATACGTGATAGCACGGAAACAGCTCTACTGCTAACATCTCATAGCATGGACGAATGTGAAGCGTTGTGTAGTCGGATTGCGATTCTGCACAGGGGCCGAGTGGTGGCGATTGGGACGAGCCAGCAGTTGAAATCGAGGTGGGTATGCATGCTTCTTGGGAAACCCGCCACTTTTCAGGGCAGGGACTTACTGCTCCATAATATCAATCTCTCCGCATAAAAAGGCTACCTTTGTGTTTTATTTCCGTTTGTGCTCCATCCACAAAAAGTCATGTAGGCGATGAAGATCGTGAAATGTCACGTGGGCGCATGTTAAATGGGTGAGGAACATATCAGATATGGGAAGTCTTCTGATACTGCTTGTATGAACTCTCTGACCAATACGGATCACTTGGTGATGTGTTGCATGCGTTGGCGTGCACAGCACAGCTGGTGGTAGTATACAAAAGTATGAAAGATAGAGCCTTTGGCCATTATTCAATACCGTCAGGGATGCACCCCAGATCCCCACTTCCATTCAGAATTCAGGGATCAAGGGCGCCCCTGCTTTTGACTTACGTTCAGAATCGTAGGGGCATATTGTATGCTTGTGAGGCGTATACAATGACTTGCGGTAGCCAGCCGATGAACGGATCAGTACTTCATTCGCACAGACGAAATTTGGTACAAATTAGCCGAATCCTGAGGAAAAGGAGGCTTGTTTCACCTGGGCAGATATCGATCCAGGATTCGAACCTGTGACTATCCATGGATGATTGTGCGAATTTCGCTACTACACCACGTCCGCCTGGTATCCGTTGTATAAGCTGGAGTTATATGACTGTATATAGAGATATATAATGCATAGATTTACTGTGATTGTCTTTAGATTTGGGAATAGCTATACAATCTCGATGGTCGCACCGGGACTGGAATCTCGTGATGCTGTCATTGACGCGGTGAAAGAAGCATTTCCTAAAGCTGTTCTGAAAACACCTAAAGGAAGCCTTACTCTCAGTTTGAAGTGGGAGGTACGAGTAGTTTCAGACTTTTGACCACTTTCATGCTCTCAAACTTCGTTTTCTCTCAAGTAGCCGCTCTGTAAATGATGTTAGAAAAAGGAAGGGGCGGGTGTGGGGCCTGCGAAATGGTTTCCACTTTATTCGCTGAGTGTTTTTCTTGGCTCAACTGGAATGGTTTAAGGAAACATCGTCATGTACGTATTTCAGATTCCGAAGTCCGAATCGGATCGGTGGTCGACGCTGTTCCGCGACGTCCAAACTCTGGCCAAGTCACTGGGAGTTACTGATTATTGTGTGGCGCAATCCTCACTCGAAGAGACCTTCCTGAGACTTTCCCTGGACAGCGAAACTGTTGACACCAACAGCAGTTCAAGTCGTTGACCTCATATTCTGTGCTACAATAGTGCTCTTGGAGTTTCACGTCTACTGGCTTTTATAATAGTATTGAGAATATTTTCACCGCTAAGTTTGCAGTTTCGTGTGCTGTTATCATTTCTAGTGATTTCGCGAGAGATGTTCGCGGTTACTTTCTGCTGATTTATCGTGTAATTTTTTTCTCTTCTTAATAATCTAAGTTGTTAACATGCCAACAGCATGTAATAAAGTAAGTAAGTAATCGCAAAAATGGACCGGTACGAAAAGCAAGCTTGCTAAATATGCCCAAGATGCAGCAGAGGTGTGTTAGTCGGGAGTTATTAGAACTAACAACTTAGAACAAATTTGTTTGCTAGTGAACTTCATTTCTTCGCAGTAACTCTAGTCTTTACCTCCTGCCCAGCTAATAGCTATACTATAAATGAATTAGAATATGACATATTTGCTTTCACTTTCAAAGCAATACGGAAGTTTTTCGGCTCTGTTTTATTCGCATCGTCCCTCATTCCGAGCTGTACATTCAAAGTTCAATTTATTAGCATTTATTACATCACTGGATCTAGTGCCGGAACCATTTTTAATTGTTTATTTGCAGTTGCGTTGGTTCCTACAAAAACTTTTTTTCTTGTTTCGATTGTTTGTTCTTGTCGTTTCATCAAGGTCATTGGCTATGCTTTCGTCAGTCATTCCACCTCTTTCTCCCCTTCGCATCGTTCAACAATGATCATATTAAAGAGACACTTTGTTCTATGATCACCGGACTCGGCGATAAACAAATTGTTTTTGGTGTATTGTGATGTAGCCCTACGGATCTCCTTCACTGAGTTCTCTCTCATCGAAGGATCCCCAGCCGGTTAGTAACAAGGCTACGTAGGCCGTCCCAAGGTGGCGGATAGGGAATTAAGCGTCGACCGAAAGTCTCCCAGAGACGCAGGTGAATTCAGGGAATGGACTCCTTGATTCTGCTGTGCTGGTCTGTTACCTACCTATACCTTCTGTTTCTCTCAGACGTATCCATGCATGCGTGTGTGGAGAGTCTGTATGTGCAGTTGATATCCTGCCCATCGATTCAGCCAATAGCTTGCATTGGGGTGACTGGGAAGAACCTTGGAGGCGATTCGGGGCCGCCTTCAAAAACAAAGCCCTTCGCTCACTTTGGTCGCTCCGGGATAGCCTGCCAAGCCCCTGGAGTCAAATTAGCCCCCACCTTAGAGTCTGGCCAGCTGCCCTTGGGGATCTACTCGCCAAAAACAGTAATAGAAATGGCCCTCATTGATTCTGGGGCCAAAACAGGTTGCCCAAAAGGGGAAGGACTAAGATGGCGATCTTTAGTTTCAACGCACAGACGCTATCATCGGAAGCGTGTATAATAGACCTGATGATGCAAGCTAGGAGGATCAAGTACCACGTCATCGGACTGACTGAGGTGAGAAGGCATCGCCCGCTGCCCGCTGTATTTGAGACTGAAGAACAACTGTTCCTTGGAACATGCGACAGTAGAGGCGTCGGCGGCGTAGGTGTCTTCGTCAATACGCACTTGACCATGAACATCGAATCGTACGAAAGCTTAACAATACGAAATGGACGTTTGCGATTGAGAAG